TTTTTTTTTTTTTTTTTCCGGAACCGGGGATTGAACTCAGGTCCTTGCGCTTGCCAGGGAAGCGCTTATTCCACTGAGCCATCTCCCCAGCCCAACCACAAGATTTTTAAAGTCCTACAGTTACTTTAAATATCTGACTACCTTTCAGTAATGTCCTAAATGACAGAGCTCAGTATAAGAATATATGGAAAGCCAAGATCATTATTTCTGTATGTACTATACACACATATATATGTACCATTCCCAAGGCACAATTATTATGTATCAAAAACATATACTAGCAGGTGGGCCAGCCAAATAGTTCAGCCAGGGGTTTGATCCCTGGGCCTGCCGTGCTGGCCCCACCCCCGGGACATACTGAGAGAACAACTGAGACTGGGCATGGTGCGTGCGCCTGTAATCCCAGCACTTGGGAGGCTGTAAACAGGCAGACCACTAGGAGTCTGATCTAGTAGTGAGATCCTGAACACCCTGTAGACCCTTCCCTAAAAATACAAACAAAACAAAACAAAAAAAACCAAACATATACTAGCTGGGTGTGGTGGTACATACTTGTAATCCCAGCACGCAGGACAAGGAAGAGTATTGAGAGTTGAGACCAGCCTGAGCTACAAAGTGAGCTGAAGGCCAGCCTGAACTGCACAGCGAGACCCTGTCTCCAAAAGACACACACATACACACACACACACACACACACACACACACACACACATAAACAGTCAAGTTTTACCATTAATATGAAATTGGTATTTCTATGAGTTCTCAAAGAAAATATGTATTAAATAACTGTGTCGTGGGGGCCAGGAAGATGGCTCAGTAGAATAAGTGCTTGCCTGGCAAGTGCAAGGACCTCAGGTCAATCCCCGGTTCTGCCAAAAAAACCCAAAAAACAACAAGCAAACTGTGTCTTGGGGAATGGTACACATATATACTGCATCTTGGTCATTGTAACCCACCCCCCTCCCTCCCCAGATCCACTATGTTTTACTTCTTTTCTTTTCCTTCCTTCCTTTCTTTTCTTTTTTGGTACAGGGAATAGAACTCAGGGCCTCATGCTTGCCAGGCAGGCACTGTGCCTCTGAGCTACACCCCCTGCCCCTATATCTTACTTTCAAAACTACAGTTCCATTAGTCCAGCTTATGTCATTGGGAAATTGTTATACAGGACCCTAAGCACATGGTTTATAAAATGATTTTAAAAGATTTCTCTAATATTCCTAGATATCTAGAGATTCAGACTAGAAAAATAAGTACAACTAGAAGCAAAGTACTTAAGATTCAAACCAGGATCCATCTGCACAATTTTTTGGTGGTGGTAGGAGGTGGTTTTGAGACAGAGTTTCATGTAGCACAGATTAGACTTGAACTTGCTATGAAGCCCAGGCTGGCTTCACACTCGGCAATCTGCCTGCCTCAGCATCCTGAGTGCTGGGCTTATACATAGGTGTGCACCACTATGCCTGGAAAATCTCAATTTTTCTGAAAGCATCATTCTATGCACATAAAGCCTGTAATACACAAGATATACAGACTTTTCATTTTAAGTTTTTTCTTTAGAATTGGTAAAGGATTATATCCCTCAGGGAGGCTAAGTAGAGTCTAAGTACATGCTAACGTCAGACTGCTGACTATTCTTAGAATCCTAGTTCTATCACTAGATACATAATAAATCAGCCTCAGTTGCCTCATTTATAGAGTAACAGAAGTATCTATCTCAAAGTATTGTGAGAAATAAAATGGTAAAAGGAATTTAGTACAAGGTCTGACAAAATAAGAGTTCAAAAACCTTAGCTCTTTTCCTCTCTTATCATCAGTAGCACTATCATGAACCTACACTGAGCTTCCCTGCCCCTGCCTACAGGAATGCTTTGTCCATAGCACAGCTGCCCAGGAAAGAGGGGTATGATCTGTGGCCACAGAACCCAGGGATGTTCTGAAGACCTGAGCCAGACACTTTAAAGTCTTGATCACATTACCTTATTCTTGCCTCAAGTTCTTTAGAACCAAATCACCAGTAAGGTAAATTCCAAAATATAACTGTAGTCACTTGCCTCTTCCACCACGTTGGCAAACCCCCACCTTCTGAATGGTTCAGTGACGAGTGAAAATATTCTCTCTACAGAAGACACAAACTGCCTCTTATACTATATAATTAGATGTAGCACTGAAGTACATCTCCAGCCCTTTTTTATATTTTATTTTGAGATACAGTCTCACATAATTGCCCAGGGTAGGTTCCAACTTGTAATCCTCTTGCCTCACCTCCCAGAGTATTACAGACATGTGCCACTATGCCTAAATACTTCCTCAAAGAATTTAAGATATATAATGTAAGAAACTGAATGAATAAATAAAGTCCATACAATAGATACTGTCAAATGGAAAGAAACTGCTCAAAAGGAAAAACAACTGAGACATGGAAAAGAAGAAATAAAAGAAAGAAGGTAAAATGCGCGCACACACACACCAGACAGCTAAGATAACTGTATTACTGATTATTACTGATTTCTATTGGTTTTTTTGAAAGGAGAAATTAATGTTAAATTGTTTGATTACTTTTGCATGCCTGTATCTGGTAATTTGAACAACTAATTTAAAGAAAATATGCACTATAACAACCACTGTTAATTTCCTATCATCTTATTTTGAAATTCTGAATCATTTTTATTGGGATTTTCCTTAATTTTTTATTCTCTTTGGAACAAAAAAATAAGTAAACTGCTAACTAAAAAAAATAAGGATTTAAGATATAAAGGTTTCTAGGATTGATGTGAGATAAATCATTAATTGGCTAAGAATAGACTGTATAATGACTATAAACAAATGCTTTAAATAACAGAAGTTAAATGCAAACTTATTTTAAATGTCAATCATAAAATACAAGTGAAAAATATCTTAATAGATTAAATATTCTCTAAAATTTAGCTTACCTGCTTCAGACTCTATGTTTAAATTAGTTGTTACAAAATTAGATGGGAAGAGTCCCGTTCCTCTGTGATTTTCTCCTTTCCACCAATTGGCATCACTGAAAAATGCAATGTAAAAAATTCATCTGTTCTCTGTATTTCAGTACTTTGTGTTGAAATAGGTAAAGTAAAAATTACACTTAGCCTACTTTGAAAATATTGGGTTCTACCCAGCTATAGGTAAAAGATGATTTTCTTAAATGTAATAAAAAATAATGAACAGTACAAATACAACAAACATTCATATTCCACACCTAAATCTAAAACCTATCATTGACTAGTCACAATTGATTATGGCATAAAAAAAGAAAATCAAATGTAAATAACACTAAAGTCCCCTTTCTCAGTGGGTGTAAGCCCCAAACTTCACATCTACCTTACACCACCACCGAAGTTGGCATGTACCTTTCTTGATACTCTATAGTCTTCTGTAGTATCTGTTCCTAACTCTATACAAAAACGGTGATACATACATATAGGATCTAGTCCTTACAGATCTTTTCAATGTCATGTATCAGTCATGATATGTGAATGTCATGTATGCAGATCTTATCTCTTTTTAAAGTTTTCTCACAAGAACACACATATTTATTATCACATGAACACACATATTTAACTCACACATGTCTATATAGATTAGGTTGTTCCCGATCTTTCCCCATTATTGTTCAATTTTAAATACCTAAGTGAAGGTAATCCCTCACTACAATTTCACACAAATCACTTGTAAGTATTTTAAATGTGGCATGTATACTTAAGAGCTTTTTAGAAAAGAACAAATCACAACTAACTAAAAAATGGCATGAGTGTAAGGGACATAAACTTTACCTTCAACAAATGGATTATTCAGCTACCATTTATGAAAATCCTCCAAGGACAAACTGGGTGTGGTGGTATGCCCCTAGAACCCCTGCCACTGGGAGGCAGAGGCAGGAGGATCAGAAATTCCAGACTTGTCTAGGTAACTTAGCTCAAGCACTCTCAAAATTTAAAAAGCGGTGGGGATATAGTGCAGTGTGAATGAAGGTCTTGGGTTCAATCCTCCGTACTGAAAAAAAGGTAAAGTCTACCAAGGAGAGAACCGGTACTTTCAGGCTAGGCACTGAAATTATGAAAATAAGATACTCTTTCTGCACCGATGAAACTGAAAATCCAAGTGCAGTGTTTCAATTTCCCCTTCCTAACAGGTTATCTTGCTTTATCTGCTGGGAACTGTTTTCTCTAGTTCCTCCCACCCAGGGAAGCGCTGACCCTCTTTACAATCAATGGGTCTAGCAGGAGACACATATAAAGAAAATACTCAATATGCAGCATAAGAAATGGTCTTATACAAATACATTCAAGGAGCTGTAGCAACACAGAGAACTCCTAACTATACTGGGAGATAAAAGCAGGGAAGGGAAAGAGTTTTCAGAGGACATAAAAATCTGAGATAGGTGGGTTTTAAAGATTAAGAGTAGGCACTCACTAGAAAGAAAATGAGATTAAAACTAGGGAAATACAGGGGGGAAGTGCAGAGAAATAAAAAATATACTCTCAGATATAAACAAAAACCCTAAGTGTAAAGTTTGATTGGGACACGACTCTCCCATTACTCAACCTGTCGGCCAGTAGAGGCATTTTTCCGAGCTCAGGATTGAGGCACTCAGCAAATGCAGTACATCATAAAAAAGACAGAGCATATAGACTCTATCAAGACACTTGAAGGCACCCAGACATTTACAAGGGACATTTCAAAGACTGTGTACACTAAGGCACCAAACAGCCTGAGAACTGTGACCACTGAGGTCTACTACAATTTTCCTGGCTAATGTTCCTTTGCCTTCCTATCAAGCCCTATTAAAGAAAAAAAAAAAAAGTCCTCTTCTCTTTGCTCCCTACAGACAGCCTTTTCACCCAGGCACAATCAAGTCCACGTCATGCTGCCTTTACATAAGCCTGGTGGTCTCTGCTGGTCTCTGTCTCACACCACTCCTTACTCTAAGATCATCCTATCTAGTTTAGGTCTCAAAACCTATGAAAACTTGGAGTGATTTTTTTTAAAAAAAATCACTTCCTGACTTTTCCAACAGTTAACAATAAAATGACTTTATGGATAAAATAATTATGTAAAAAAACCTGCTATTTCTACAACAAACAGAAATAGTAAACCTTGGAATTTGTGTAATCTTGTGGAATCCTTTTCCTTGAAATACTTTTTATTTTTAATTTGAGGAACCAAATATTTTACAGCTGGGACCCATAAATCTTCCTTGCAAGTAAAGTCTACTTTCTTTCTAATTCTTTTAATTCCTATGAAGAGGCTGTCTAAACAAAGGACCAAACATACAAGTCCACCGGGGCCTAATCAGCAGATGGTACTTTTGGAACTTAATCATTTCAAATGTTTATAGAAAGAACAAAACGAGTGGTGAGATAAAGGTAAAAATGTAGAAAGTGATTTTTAAAACATATTCTGATTAAAAAATATGCACCTTTTTTAGTCAACTCAGGTTTCTCAAACTGAGTTTGAAGAATGATTTATTTTCAAGGGCTTTGACATCTTCATGTAAATGTTTTAACCTTGTATTTTTAATTTCATGAAAATCTAATGAAGAGTCAGTCTCTTGACCATCTGTAATCAAGACATAACAGGCAAATGTAACTGCAGCAAGGGCGTCCCATCATCAAAATGACAGGAATCACCCACCTCTTTCAGCATATGCATGCTGAATTATCTTAGAAGTTAAAAAAGAAAAACGTATGTTAGGTTGTTTTTTTGTTTTGGGGGGGAGTTTTCTGGTGCTACCAGGGATCAAACTCAGGGCCCTGCGCTTGCCAGGCAAGTGCTTATTCCACTGAGCAATCTCCCTAGCCCCAAAAAGGTATGTTTTTGAAGTGATAAAGTACCAATTGAAATTTATTTCATGAATCTAAATTATTTAATAAATTCATGTTTTAATTGGAAATTAATGAAAAAGACATGACATACTACAGTAATACAATCCGCTACCTGCTATAGGTCATAAGACTATAAAAAGTACCAATGCCATATGAAAGTCAAACACCATTATGGGACACTGCAAAAAGACTCTCAGTCTTTCTTTTCTGGCTACAACAGAAAAACAGAAGGGCTACGTACCAGCATAGGACAGTAAAGGCTTGGTGAGGTAACTGCCATTAATTCGTACTGTACTTAACTTGGAAACAACAATTTATTTTAGGAAATTCTATTACATAAAATTAATGTACTAAGTTTGAATCTTAAAAATGTTTTAATGTTTTGGAAACAGTCATTTGAAGTGGAGTTCATGATCTCTGAAAGAGTAAATAAAGGTAAAGAAGTTGTGCAGTTTTCTATTTACTAACGTCTGTAATTTTACAGATACATAATCAGGCTAGTGTGTGGCACATATCTATAGGCCCAGGATACAGGAGGCTGAGGCAGGAGGGTCACTGTGTTTGAAAATGGCCGGGGCTACAAAGTGAATGCAAAGTCAGCTTGAACAATATAGTGAAGCCCTGCCTGAGACCCCAAAAAAGTACAAATCAAAGTTCTGTGATAACTATTCTAACTAACACAGCACTGGGGACTTTCACTGCCACTGTCTAGAGCACCCAACTTCTTTACCTTTATTTACTCTTTCAGAGATCATGAACTCCACTTCAAATGACTGTTTCCAAAACATTAAAAAAATGTATGGCAATGAAGATTATTTTCTCAGTGAACATAGTGCTACCCTGACTGTGCTAAGACCTTTCTTTTTCCCATTCCCCATCACCTTTCTCTTCCCAACTGTAAAATATTTCCTGTTCTGCCAGAATCAATCAAGGTTCACCTCAAATGAACCTTGTAAATAAGTCTTCCCCTCATGCTTGCACCAAGTGCATCTGTGCTCCTTTTAGCCTCCAATAGTACCTCTTTCTTTGCATCCATGTTCTCCTTCCGTATAATTATCTGTACAGTAATTTTAACTCCCTGGTTTTATTTCAGGTTTGACAGAAAGAGAACTGTGTCCTTGTACACTTCGCATTACATTCTTTTTGAGTTATTCTGCAGTACTGGGGATTGAACTCATGACCTTGCATTTCCCAGGCATTACGCAGCTGAGCTATATCCCCAGCCCTGTATTATATTCTATTACATAATATTTTCTCAGTAAATATCTGCTGCAGCAAAGAAGAACCATTATATGTTCTACTCATTTAAAACTATACTAGATTAAGATCCAAATGTACAGTAAATATTGTAAAAAGGAAAGATACTGTTGAAAAGGAAATAGAAACTGGAATGGGGGAAAGGAAAAAAGGGAAAAGAAAAATGTATATACATGCACACAAGACAATTAAGATCGTTACACTACTAATTTCTCTTAGATCACTGAAGGGAAACGTTTGGGCAAATATTGTTTCAATAATTAAATGTATGTATCTTGTAACTAATGTAATGATAACAATATGCAATGCATTAACCATTGTTACCCTATTTGAAATTTTCATTTTTTCTCTTTAAAATAAAATTTTACAACACTGTATTAGTCTGGCATATCCCCAGTGAGTTATTTATAATGGATGCCAAATACATTTCCAATCTCTGTTCATAGCAACAAGCTGTCAGGTTTCTTCACACTAAATTTCGTCAATTTCTTTTAAAAGTAAAAGTAAAGCAAATAAATAGGCCAGGGAGGTAGCTTGATGGAATAAGCATCTACCTGGAAAGTACAAGGTCCCAAGTTCAACTCCTGGTATATATAAAAAAGTAAAGCACAGTATGATAGCTCACACCTTTGATCTTAGTACTTGGGGAGGCTGAGGCAAGGGAATCAAATGTTTAAGCTAGGGCCAGCCAGATAGCTCAGTAGATTAATAGACAGACACAGGGTCTAGGTTTGGTCCCAGTGAGGTGCCAGCCCCGCCCCCAGGATGCACTGGGACAGCAATGAGACTGGGCCTGGTGACGCACACTCGCCTATAATCTCAGCACTTGGAAGGCGGAAAACAGGAAGATCACTATGAGTCTGATCTGTATAGTGAGAACCTGTAGACCCTAAATACATTTTAAAAAAAAGTTCAAGTCTATGCTGGGGAACTTACCAAGACCGTTTGAAAGAATTTTAAAAAGGACTGGGGACAGTTCAGTAAAGAATAGACTTAAAATTCAATATAGATCAATTTATTGTGGCTTACAACTTCAAATCACACAGAAATCGTGAGAGGACTATAGTAATAGGTTAAGAATCACGAGAAAGCAGAGAATAGCTTTTGGTTGCATTGATCGAGGTAATATACCAATATTCCTTCCTGATGTTATTCTAATTTTGATATACTCCCAAAGTAAATGCAACCAGGTAACTGAGTATGTATTTTTCAATGGTAGTCATTAACAGTGTTAGTTAACACATCTTTCATCCAAGACAAAGGATACTTCACTAGCAAATTTAAAAAAAAAAGAATTAGCAACTTGCATTACTTACTCTCTTATTGTAGGAAAAAATATATATTGAAATGCAAAAAGAAAGGTTCTATTATGATTTAAATACCCTGAAAGCAAAAAACCTGAATATCTGAGATTCTCAAGGATACTGTAGTTAAAACTTCAGAATATTTCATTATTAAATAGGGGCTGGGGAGATAGCTCAGTGGAATAAGTGCTTGCCTGGGAAGTGCAAGGTCCTGAGTTTGATCCCTGGTACCACAAAAATAGCAAGCAAGAAAGTAAGCAAGAAAGAAATTGCATTTTTCAAACTGAAGAAAACAGAACTAATTTAACTGTAACTTCCTTCTTTATTAATGTTTTGCCAAAATAAATCAAATTGCTTCAGTACTATAAAAAAGAATATTTCATTATTAAAAATTTAAAACATACCTGTCATCCAAAACAATAATAATTTCACCATGTTTAAAGGTGAGTTCATTGTCTTCAACGGCTTCAAAATCATATAAAGCTCTCACTTTTCGTGCAACTCTATTGTTTAACTGAATTTCTGCAGATGGATATAAAGATTTTGTCTCTGTGCACTGCTGTTTCTGCTCTTGCAATGATAATTCGATAGCTAGTTTAAAAAATTAAAATGTAAAAAAGAGGCCAGAATTATTTTTTTAAAAAGTTCACAGTAAAGCATCAGACAACAAGGTAATGCAGCAATACCCCAGTTCATGAACACTTCTATTTGCAAATAATTTGGTTTACCATCAAAAGTATTTGGCAAAATTTTGATTTGATTGGCAAACTGCATCAGGTGACAAACATGGCCACGGCCATCATTCCCACACAAACACAAAAGCAGGCACCTCACCCAAAACTATAAAACAAACTAGGTCCATAAACTGAGGCACCACTGTCTTTAATAATTTATCTAGTGAATATGGTATTTGTCCAATTAAATGCTAAATAGGTAACTTTCAGGAAGGCAGGAAAACATGACATTTTTTAAAGTAAAGTTTTGCTCATGCTTTATTATCACAGACTGTTATATATAGCAGTTATTATTTTTATAGCAAACAGATTGTGACATTATAATATGGGTAGCTTTCCATATAGGACAAGCAGTGAACATATTTCTGTTCTTGACTCATAACTCTGGCATTAAAGAAAAGGTGACAAGTAATCTCTCCAAAGGTAGGTCACTAAATATATATTACTGAAGAAGAAAAGTGAATTAAATCCATCTTACATCATGTCATTTGTTTTCCTTAATTTTAAGAGTCTACTAATTTTTATACATGAGATATAATTAGAATATACAGTTTTATTACAATTTTTATTTCAATAAAATTATCTGGTGAAGATACCTTCAGCAATACTAAATTATACATGCTTGATCATTTACCTTTAGCTATGTCTTCATCTTCTTTGTTTTTGTTTGATAATGTTCCATTCTTGGCAGCAGCAGAGGCAGCCTGTAAACGTAAGAGAAATGTGAACATCCTATCCTCTCAGAGAAAATGTAAGCTCTACAATTACCAGCAGAAATTAACTTAAAAAATACTGATATAAATGAGTTTCATTAAAAAGTGCAGTTCTTTATCACTTTAAGTAGCTGTTTCCAAGTACTAAAACAAGTTTTCAAAAAATTATAAATATACAAAGGACATGAATTGGCTGTTTTTCATAATCTAAGTATCTGACACACAATTTGTCATACACAAAGCACTTAAGTACTTATAGAGTGGATAAGTATGACTGTCTTGACTTCTTGAGCTCAGCTGTCCAAAGTGAGTGACATCGACTTCTAAGGCACAGAGCTACAGAAGTGCCAAGAACAAGTCATGACTGCTGAAGGAGAGGAGGAAGATGGGGATGGCAGGTACAGCTGTAGTCATATAATTCCAATATGCAGCGAACACTTAAATTTAAAATTCTTATTACAGTAAAAGACATTAGTAGTAATCTCTCATACCCTCCCCTCTTCAGATACACTTATGCCATCATTCTTTACAATTTCTGAAGCAGGCTGGAAGTCCTTTCTGTCTTTAGCTGTGCTGTTGAGGCTGCCTCAATGTTCTGAATTAATTCAAAACATTTACCTTTTATGACTATTTGGATTTTGGCAAGAGCCAGAAGTTGTATGGTACCAGAACTGGTGAATGAGATGGACATGGACATGCTGCAATATATTTCTACATGTCTGCCTTCCCACTGGATGGCACTTGGAAGGACTGTTCACCATATCTTTGTTCACTGTGCACTGACATTCATGAAAGATGACTTCCAGAACTGCTCAGAAAATTCAAAACTTTACCTTGTGTCTCAGAAACTCTTGCTTCCTTTGGCCTGGTCAGCTATTAAATTACATTTGTCTCTTTACAGTCAAAATAAAAGAAAATATAGTACCTCCTTTGTTAGTTTCTTTCCTTAGCCTACAATCTAATAATTGGAGAACAAAAGGCACTGAAAGTCTAAGCAAGTTACAGTGTTTTCTCCCAGACACCTAAAAAACCAACCCACTCTGTAAGTCATTATCCCTGTCCCTCTCCTTGTGTTACTGAAACTATCCCCTACCTCTCCAGATAAATTTCTAGTTCCACCCACCTTACATGTAAACTATTCAATTCAGGCATATTCACTCTTCAATAAATAATTCTCAGCCCTATAAATTTGTTCATGTCATTTCTCCCCTGCTACTATCTCTCCTTGTCCCTCTCCCTCTCCCTTTCAACAAACTGGCTATGTTCAGGCTGGCCTTGAACACACTATGTATCGCGGGCTGACTTTGAACTCAAGGTGCTCCTCGGATGCCTCAGCCTGCAGAGTACTGGGATTACAGGCGTGTGCTACCACACCCAGGTCTTCTTCACTCCACTCTAATAAAACACATTTAAGTCTCAAAATTCTACCACTTCACTACATCACCAACCTAGTTCACGGCTCCCCCTCTTACCCTGATAGCAAGAAGCATAGCATCTAAACTTTCTACCTTTTATTCCTTGTCATTTACATATCTTTTATATATCAAATGTAGCGTAAATAGTTTTAAGGTAAGGGCTGTCTTACACATCTAAGCCTTTCACACTATGCCGAATAAATTGTGCCATATTCACTTTTCAAAGTTCTACTGTGTGGAAGAAAAACACTGAACTCTTAGAATGTCTACTAAATGTAAGACACCATGTAAGAGGCACTTGGGGAATGAGATGACTAATGATGTCAGAACACTCCTTGCCTAGCTTTTACAGAAGATACAAACCTTCAAAATAATATAGAGCTGGAGCCAGGCATGGTGGTGCACATGAATTCGAGGCCAGCCTGAGATATACAGTGTGTTCAGGATCAGCCTGAACTACATGAGGCTCTGCCAAAAAAAAAAAAAAAAGGACCAATCATGAGTCTGAATAATTTCCTTACCTGAGACCTCAGTGGAGGAAAAGTAATTCCTTCTTCTTTCATTGAATTAACAGTTGCAGCTATTAGACTAAACTGAGGGTCCTTCTGAAATTCTTCTGACCATTCTACCATTAAAGATTTTAGTTTTTCACATACTTTAGGATGAGCCTTTTAAAGAAAAAAAAAACAAGGGGGGGGGACTTGTAGTTAAAAGAAATAATTAAATTGTTTAATTAAAAAGAAAGTTACCATCAAGATTCTTTTTAATTATATGAACATCAACAAAAGCCCAGCAACCCCTAATCTATTTGAGTAATAAATAGATACCTACTTACCTCTTAAGATATGCTCATTTCATGTAAAATTACTTTGCTAGAATATCAATTTCTAAGCCTTGCTATAATGACAATAAATCTTTTAACTTCAAAGATTATTCTTGTGTTTTCTTAATATTCTTAAAACTAATAAGAATTCTGTATCAACCTGACTAAAATTCTGGGACTTTTGCCACTAATAGTATAAATTATGATGTGTTTAAGGTTCTATCACAAAGAAAGGTAACCCTACAACGCCTCCCCCAAACAAAGATCTCCTTTGCTCACCCACTGTAATGGGAGTCAGCAAAGAATGGCAGTTACAGGAGTCGGAGTCTCGAGTCATAGAACTCTTGAGCTGAATCTCAGCTCTGCCTCCTTACTTGCTGCACAAACTTGGAAAAGTCACTTCTTTCAAGCCCCAGTTTCTGTACAAACAGGACAGTCTAAATAAAATCATTAAAGAAATGACTGCTCACTAGAACTCAGTAAAGATTAGCTCCTATGAACAGTGCATGTTTTGGAGAGAAAAACTGTTTCGCATACTATCAGAAGTTTAAATCATTCTAATTTATCTAAAAGCAATTTCACGTATAATTTTATTACACAATTTAACTGATACATGTTTTTTAAAAATGTCTTAAATTCTTCTCTTTATAAAATTTACCTTATTTTTTATCACAGCACGCACTTCTGTTGCAAAATCACGGGAACATACTTCTAAATGAAATATCTTTCCACAGTTTGCCACGCAAGCCCCAAGAAGCTGTTAACAACAATAAAAGTTAACACACAAATGTTGAAATATTATCTTACCTAACTTACTAGAATAAGAGCACTTTGAAAACTGGGTCAAACAACATGACTTTTACTCACAGTTAATGCCTGCAGAGCAACATGAGGAACCTTATGATTAACCCTTTTCATTATGGCTTTCAGGCAATCTTTTGCTCTAAGAAAAAAAATACAGATGGTATTTTGTTTTATAATTTCAATTCAAACATTTAAAATACAGTGTATTTCCTAACTAAGTTTAAAAACAAATCCTAGAAAATCTGCTTTGTTATGGAATAAGCATGTAAAATGGTTTTACATAATCTTTTGTTCAAACTCACAGAACTTTAAAAATAACTGCTGCAATCATCATACACTCCAAAACAGACAAAACATCACCTCATAGAAAGTCATCACAAGAGAACTACACCATATAAACTCTCTTTTCATACTCTTATAAAGAACTAGCTATATAATCTTAAAAGATTCAGATACAAAAGTGTATACACTATGAAAATCTGAGTGTTCCTTTTTTTTTTTTTTTTTTTTTTTGGTGGAACTGAGGATTGAACTCAGGCCCTTGCACTTGCCTGGGAAGCGCTTATTCCACTGAGCCATCTCCCCAGCCTGAAAATCTGAGCATTAAAACTAACTGCTGCATTCTCCTTAAAAACACGTTAGAGATCACCTTTTCATTGTTACCTACTATATTTACCTATTCATTAATGGAAGTTTCTCATACATGTCTAAGTTACAGGAAAATGCCCAAATAACTAATCTACTCTCTGTGAACATGTGTCCCTACTGTATCAAGCCTTTAACAGAGCTCAGGTAACAAATGGAATTCTCTTCCATTTGTTCTTTCAGAACAAGACTTATACACCCACTCTATGGGCTCTGTTTAGTTTTTATTTCCTGAAACTAAATAGCTAACTAAGAAGTTTAAATAATAATTTAGTTACATTAAGAGCTTGTTGAAAACTAGGACTGCAATATCCTTTCAAAGTTACACAGGAAAAGGACAGCATAATAAAGCTGCTAAATATTTACTGGGTATCATACCCATTAGGAGTGCTTCCAACTTTGTCACATATATCCATAATCAGACTCCAATCTTCTGTGGTATTATATTCATTCGTAGCTTTTTCTGTAAAATGAGAACATACACAAAAATTAGGATATGGTCACAAAACACTAAGATACCAATAAAAACACAACAGTTAAAAAGTCTACAAATAATTTTTTCAAAAAGCCTCCATTCATTCTTGCCAAAGATAAAAGAACTACAGATAAACTTCAGAATATAGAGTACTTCTAACTTCAATTTTAAATTACAAAATTAAATCCATCTTCTATGAAAAGTCAGATTTGACTATATTTTTTCAGAGATTTAAAATGTTTATTTCTAAATTATGTAACAAACGAATTCAGCAAATTTTAAAGAGGGAAAAAACCAACCTAACACTACCAGCCTCTTCTAAAATTACATTTATCTTTCTAGACTTTTTCTATATATGCATATACAAAAACTTTTAAATCTAGTAAATAAAAATATCATGATAAAGTCATTCGGGCGAATTAAAACCAAATCTTGGTAGCAGGAAACAGCTTCCTGACCTAAATGTACAATTAAGAGTGTAGGTTGAAAATTAAAAAGGGGGGTTTTGGTATGTCTTCAATCTGTGTAAATACCAACATGCTTATTATGCATTGTAAACCAAGTGTGTTTGCCTATGTATGAATTTGTAGAACTGATTTCTGCTTCAAGTGAAGCTGCACCTTTAATTTTATAAGGTCCCTTCCACCTGTAACCCTATAAATGTTTGTAAATAGAACACTAAAGTTTGTAGTGCTAGGATCAATTTGGGAATATCTGCTGAGAGACCAAAAAGTTCATTTTTTTAAGTACCTTGGTTAAAGAGTAAAGATTATTCCTCTTATTTTTTAAAAGAAGAATGCACTTTAACAAACAGCTGCATGGGCAATTCAAACAAACCGTGAAGTGCAGTACCCATTCAGAAATCACACTTCCCGAAAACCGTTCAAAGCAGAGTCCGGGCGGGCTGTTGATCTCACTGCCTGTAGGTTGAAGCTCAGATTCTGACCAGCTTCGAGACAAGCAGGGCTGCTCCAAAAGAGCAATGTGAATACAGCCAGTAGCTTCAGACAGGTCTGTAAAGTGGCGGGTCCCGTATTTACCACTAACTAGCAAAACTGAAAGAAAAACTCAGAGAAAAAGTCTAAGAACTCTTCCTGCTGGTGTGCACTCCTTACAATAGCAGACTTTTGCAAATGGAGTTTTACAGTCTATATTTAAAAAATTGTATGTTTGTAACAAATAAAGTATGCAGAAAAGTGAATGACAAAAAAAAAATAGTATGATGGTTGTATCAAACTGAGTAAGAGAAGCTTAACTGGGCAATTACACACGATGGGGTGGCCTGTCACTTGGATGGCATAAAGGGGAAATGAAGAAGGATGAATCAATCTGCTTGTGTTTCTTCAGGGGAGCGCAAGTCTTAAGACTTCAGCTTGGACATCATCTCCTGGCTTCCAGCCCAGACCCACTGGCCTCCTGATAGGTCCTAGCAGGAGACACTGTACTGAGTTCCACTACAGTTCTTAGCCTGAATCCTTCGGTCTCCAGTGTGCAGACACCCTCTGCACTCTTGCAATCACTCTGTGGGTGGCCACTGTAAGTCAATCTTGTACATTCACATATATTTGTACACATCTTGTATTACATCTGTTTCTCTAGTAAACTCTAATAGGATCACAGTCTAAAGTGTCCGAAGAGCTCACCCAAAAACTGGCAACCTTTTCCACGCCCACAGCTATGAATAAGATGAAGAAACAAAGCAAAATGTCACTGTTGCTACTACTGGAAGCTTTAGATATGTAAGTCTGCGGTGAACCCCCCAAAAATGGTAATGCTTTAGCACTACACTGGGGCAGACCTTTCCCTGTAGGGTAGGACCTGCACAATTCATGAAGAAGTGTTATTGTTTCTATCTAGATGTCCCTCCAAAGCCTCAGACACTCATAGGTAGGGCCTTTGGGAGATAAGTGGATCACAGGGGCATGATACTCATCATGGATTAGGCCACCGAGTTTAGGGCTAAGCCTGGTCAGAATAAGTGGGTCACCAGAGGTATGGCCCAAAAGGGGGTCTCCCTTGATCATCCTATGTCATGAGCTCTTTCTCTTCTGCCATGCTGCCCTGCCTTGGAGCCAAAAGACTTTAGACTGAAACCCCTACAAACTGTTAGCCAAAATAGGCCTTTCTTCCTCAAAATTGTAGGGTGTGGAGTATTGTGTTTCAGCAACGAGAAAGTAACTAAGATAAGTAAATGAAATTGAGAAAGTAACTAAGATAAGTAAATGAAATTATCAATTAAGGGCAAAGGAAAGACTGGATCAGTGATGGTATTCAGTCCACTGGGGTGCCAAGGGAAGGGGAATGGCTAGGGGTCTCCCAGAACGACCCCTAGCCTCTTTGGGTCTTTGCCTTTACTCGGATAAAAAATGAAGTGGGCTTTTAGCAGAAAATGGGAATCCATTTACATGGGTACCATGTAAATAGAGAGCTTATTTAAAGTATGACAAATGCAGAGAAAGCAGAAGAGCTATCTTAACAGTAGAGTGAGCTGCAAGAAAGGGAGCAAACTGTCAAAAGGCTTGGGCAGCCCTCCCCACGAAGTACTGCAGGTTGTAGTCCTCACGGCTTCTACCTTGAGCTGGCTTTGCTCACCCCGCTTCCAGCTTTCTTCTATCTTTTCCATCTTCCTGGTCTCTTCAATGTCCTGGGGTTTCCAATTTACTTTTGGCTTCACTGTCACAGCTTCACACAATGCCCTCTCAGAAGCAAAACAGCCTCCCAGACCTCCTTCTGAAATCTGGGTAAATGCCTCCACTACGCCACAACACTTGAACTCCGCAGGCATGTAAAACTCATACCACAAGGATGATTCCAATGTCTGCTTCCAGCTCAAGCAGTAGCCAGTGACTGCAGAGATCTCTGAGTGCCTGATAACTGATCAGTGTCTACAGACCTCCAGCAATCTAATTCTGTAGTGGCCCTTCTTGACCATAGTGCCCTGAAGCTCACTTCTCAAATCAAATTCTTATAGTTTCACACCTCAGAGCCTGTAATGGGCAGGGCCTTGCAGGTTTGTGATGCTGAAGCCATTTTTCCTATAGTCATTATATAAAATACCTGGCATTTTTTAAATTCTAATCTTTTTAGTAACCAAGCTCTCCTCTGTTCAATCTTCATAGGATCTTTCTGACAAAAGTGAGCCCTTTATTTACTTATTCATTTTTGGAGGGAGTGGTTTTATTGGTACATTTTAGATACACATAATGATACCGTTCATCAAAGGGGATTTGTACCTGTGCATACCTTGCTTCTTTTTATCCTATTACCCCTCCCTTTCCTTCAACCCCTCTTCCCTCTCCTTATTTATATCCTTATTTATAAAAGTTTCTTTCATTATTTTCCTTATATTCTCTTTCTTCTGGTCCCCTCCTTCCCCCTCCCCCCAGTTCGCCTTCCCATCTGAACATTTTCTTTCCATTCCCTAAACTCTATTGTACATTTTAGTCCTTATTTACATATTTGGTTTCTCACACCAGAGAAACAATGCAGTGCTTAAATGTGTGTCCGATGTAGTTCAGATAAGACTATGATCTCAAGGTGCATTCATTTAGCTAGAAATGTCTCAAGCTTATACTTCTTTGTGGCAAAGTATTTCACTGTGCAAAAAAATCACATCTTCTTTGTCTGTTTATCAGCTGATGGGCATGTGGGCTGTTTCCAAGATTTAGCTATTACAAATTGTGTTGCATAAACATGGATGTGCATAAATCTCTGTGGTATGATGCTTTTAATTCTTTCAGGAAGATACAAAGGGAAACGGGTAGGTCAAAAGGAACCTTTTGTTTTAGTTTTTTTATGGAATCTTCACTGATTGCACAGTGGTTGTGCCAGCCAATGCTAATAAGATGGAAAATACACAAGAAATGTATATTCCCAGATATATATGCATTACAAAATCCCAATCAAGATAAAAAAATTTCTAAATAAACCAGTATCGATAAAGGAAATTGAAGATGTAATTAAAAGCCTAATAAGAAAAAGAAGTCCAGACCCTGACAAATTCACTAGTAAATTTGACAAGAAATTTAGAAAAGACCTAATGCCATTAATTTTCCAATTCATCAATGAAATTCAAAACTGCAGGGAGGGGGAGGCTGGGGAGGTCAGTAGAATAAGTGTTTGCCTAGCAAGTGCAAGGGCCTAAAGTTCAATCCCCAGTTCTGAAAAAAAAAAAAATCAAAATGAAGCAATACTTCCAAATTCATTCCTGGAAGCAAGCAATACCCTGACATTAAAACCAGAACGCAAACCATCCAAACAAGAGAACTCCATGCCAATATTCCTAATGAACATAGATGCAAAAATCCTCAATAATATACAGGCAAATCATCAAGAAAATTATATACCACAACCAAGTGTAATTCATTCCAGGGGCCCAAGGATGGTTCAACATTCGCAAATCAAAAAATGCAATACATCACATTAACATAGCTAAAGACAGAAGCCCCATGATCATCTCAATAGATGCAGAAAGAACAATTAACAAAGTCCAATACCCATTCATGATAAAAACCCTACAGAAAATGAATAGATGGGCTTTTCCTCAATCTGATAAAAGCCACCTGTGACGATCCAACAGCCAACATCATACTAAATGGACAAAAACTGAAAGCTTTCACTATAAAATCAGAAACAAGGTAATAATGTCCACTATCACTACCCTTAACATAGTTCTGGAAATATTAGCCAAAGCAATTAAAACAAGAAAGAGAAATAAAAGGAGTAAGGGTAGGAAAAGAAATTACATACCATTAGCTGCAAAAGACATGATACTCTACATAAAAGACCCCCAAAACTCCACCAAAAGATTTCTAGATTTAATACAAGTCTTACTAAATTTGGATTCAGTAAATAGTGTAGCAGGATACAAAGTCAACACTCAAAATTAACGGCATACCTGTACATAAATCTCAAACTCACTGAGAGAGAAATTAGGGAAACAACACCTTTCACAATAGCATACAAATAACGAAATACTTAGGAATCAA